AGGGGCAAAGAGGGTCACCATGTGCTAGAAGCTCACAAGGGCCAATATTATGTCACAACGCAGAGACACTCAGCCCCCATCACCCCACCCACTCCCATTCATGACCCCCCACTCCCATTCATGCCCATTTCCAGCGTTTTTCCAGGGACCCTTCCCCGTGGCTCGCAGAGCAGCTCCACTCTCAGAGACACCCTCACACTCCCACACTCGTCTCTGTGATCTGTCCTTCCTGTCCCCAACACTCACCCCACTAGGCCCCCAGGACTCCAACGCCTTGAATAGTGAGTATTAATCGGTGCTTTTCTGTTTGTTATTATTTTTATAGCTTTCTCTTTGATATTCATGTAAGATGTAGAACAGCTTTTCCTAATTTTTCTCCCTCCTTCTAGAAATCTCCTGTGATCTATTTTAAAAGTCCAGGACTGAGAATAATCCAAGAAGACTTGAGTCATGAAGAGAAACCCATGATATATCCCTAGAGTGAAAGGCTATTGTGAGTCTCCTTCATAACACCCTACATACACTTACACAAATAGGAAGCACTGCAGAGACCATGAGGGAGGGCTGAGGTGTGGAAAGAGGAATACCATGGACCAATGGGAAACACTGGGGTAAGGGGTTCTTCTACTGTTTTGGGTGTGATTGTCACTACACAGGTGTTCATATATGTCAGTTCTCATGAAACATTAACGATCTATAATCACTTAATCACCTAATCACTTAACTTCCCGTTAGTCGTCGATTTGCTCGAGCGGGCACCAGGAACGTCTCCATTTGTCCCTGTCGCATGCTAGTGTAGTCCAATGACATCTGTTCGCTCCAGGAATATGAAGGGCCTCAAACCGATTGTTCATGATCTTGAGGAAGAAGTCTGACCAACTGGTAGGTGGGCGGCCACGCGGTCTTTTGACATCCCGTGGAATCCAGTGGGTAACAGCTCTAGTTCAGCGGTGGTCTTTAAATCTCATTACGAGAACAGCCCATCTGATTTTTGACACCTTGGCAAATGAGACAGCGTCCCTGATTCTTGATCGTCGATGGATGTCAGAACACCAGATTCTTTCTCTCATTTGAGTGAAACGTGATATTCCAAGCATAGCTCTTTCTATTCTTCTTTCGGAGACCTGGATACCGTTCTCATCTTGTTTGCGTAGGGCCCAGGTCTCTGAGGCATATGTTAATGCAGGAAGAACAGTGGAATCAAAGAGATGTGCCCCGAGCCGGAGGTTCTTCGTCCTCTTAGCTATTTCTTCGAAGTTCTTGAAGGCATTCCAAGCCACTCTCTTCCTCCTGTGCAGCTCGGGTGCCAGGTCATTTGTCATGTTGACCTCTCGACCTAGGTACACATAACTGTTGCATTCGGAGATGGTCATTCCGTTGAGAGCGAATGGGGCGTCAGGAACAAGGCTGTTTCTCATAAACATTGTCTTCGTAAGATTCAGCTGTAGTCCGATCTTTCCACACTCACGGTCAAAGTCGGCCAGCATTTGTGCCGCTTGGCTGATGTTTGGTGTTATTAAAACAATGTCATCAGCAAAGCGGAGGTGGTGTAGTTGCCAACCATCTATCTTCACTCCCATTTCTTCCCATTCCAGTTGTCGTATGATGTTCTCGAGGGTGGCACTGAAGAGTTTCGGTGAAATGGTATCACCCTGCCGCACCCCTCTCTTGACATCAACGATCACTTCTTTATAGAATGGTGAGATCCTGGTAGTGAATCCGCAATACAGCTCACGGAGGATCCTGATGTATTGGGCTTGAATGCGCTGATTGGCTAGGGCTTCAATGACCGCTTTCGTCTCAACAGAATCAAAGGCCTTCTTTAAATCAATGAACATTAAACAGAGCGGCATCTTGAACTCCCGAGAAACCTCAATGAGCTTGGTTATCGTGTGGATATGGTCGATGGTGCTGAATCCTTTGCGGAACCCGGCTTGCTCGCATGGTTTTCCTTCATCTAGTGTTCTGCCAATCCTATTTAGGATGACTCGAGTGAACAACTTGTAGATGACAGACAATAGGCAGATCGGGCAATAGTTGCCAATGTCATGGATGTCTCCCTTCTTGAATAGTAGTACGGTCCTGCTGGTTTTCCATTGGGATGGAACCTTGCATTCAGACAGGTAGCGAGTGAAGAGCCGAGCCAGTGTATTGATGAGTACTGACGGCAGGTTCTTCAGGTGTTCAGGTCTGACCTTGTCTGGGCCGGGTGCTGTTTGTTTCTTTACCGACGAAATGGCGTGTCGGATTTCAGAAGGATGAACGTTGGGAACGACATATCCATCCTGTGGAATTTGGTATGTCGGCAAGAGGACATGGCTATCGAAGAGATTTGAGTAGAAGTCATGGATAATCTTCTCCATTGCCGTTCTGGAGGATATGATGGATCCATCAGGATGTCGGAGGGCAGTCATCTTGGTCTTGTAGTTGGCGAAGGACAGGCGGGCGTTATGAATACTTTTCCCGGCTTCTGCCGCATCTACCAGTACTTCTGCTCTTCTCTCTTTGAGGTCTTCCTTGATCGCATCTCTGCACTGCTTTGCGAGCGCGGATGTTAGCTTGCTGTTGCCTGAGGCATGCGCCAAACCACGCTGGCGAATTAGCTCAAGAGTTTTCGAAGATAGGCGATATTTTGTGGCTATCTCTCTCTTGGCATTCCTCTCACATTCATGGAGATGCTGAACCAGTCGATCGTATTCCTCGTCGATGTTGTCAACAATGGCATCTTCCCATGTTGCCGCAATAGTACCAAAGAGTCCCCAGTTGGTGGTCATTCTGGGAGTTCTCTTTTTGAACTTTGTATTCTATTATAGATCATTAATAGGTCATGGCCTTTTGTGAATTTTATTGCTAATCAAATTCTTACATGGTAAGAATAGACAGAGTCAGAATTGATGTGAAGAGTCACACTCCACGTACCTCCATGCATCCAGGTCTCCAACATACTTCAGAAAATAGAATAAAGACAACTTTTTCTCAATAGAAAAAAACAAGTTCTTAACAGCTATCTAACCCGTATTTTGTTTATGTTGCTTGTTTTGACTTTGTGTTCATTTGTTTTGGCCAGACCCTGTGATGCTCAGGGATTTTTTTTCTGGATCTGTACTCAGGAAATACTCTTGACGGTACTTGGGGTATCACATAGAATATAGGGGATCGAACCTGGGTTGGCCATGTGCAACGCAAGTGCCCTACTACTGTACTATGCCTTGTCCCTTGTTGGTTTGGTTGTGTTTTTTGTGCCATTTATGGTATACTCCTGGCTCTGTGCTCAAGGATCACTCCTGGTGAAGGCATGGAAAATCATGTGAAGGGCAGGGAATCAACCTGATGAACCACATGCACGGGAGAAATCTTCCCCCTCTACTGTCTCAGTATCTCTAGTTACTGGGGACGATCCTGGAGAACAGGGACCAAGGTGGGATGCTCTGAGTATTAACAGACACACTGAAGAGAGAAATGATGTTGCTCAGGTACTAACATCCTAGTTGAGAGCTCCAAATGCCCAACACATTGAGAGTCATTACTTAGAACCAGGAATCGTCAGGAGACAACATTCTTAGGTTAATTTTCTAACTTAGTTTTTCTGAGTTTAGCTCTTACACATCCCAGGGCCTTAGGTGTCACTGTATCACTCTCATCCCATTGATCTTCAAATTACTCCAGTGGGCACCAGTAATGTCTCTATTCCTACCAGCCCTGAGATTTTATCAGCCTCTAGTTACTTGTTCTTTCCCAACGATTGGAGGCTCTTTCATGGTCAGGGGAATAAGGGGAATTAAGTAATTGGGCCTTAGGTAATCGGGACAAATACCTTTAAACCAAGAGACGTTTCTCTGGGACAAAGAAAGAGTCTGAGCAGAAACAGGAGCCTGCCTCACTGGTGTTACAGATATCAGGGCCCTTTTATCTGGGCATACTGCCTTTCTCCTGATTCTATCTTAACACTTCTGGTGCCCAAAACGTTGATAACTGTTAGTGACTATGTGGATTCCTTTTGTCTAAATAGTGCAACAACACTTAAACTCTATTTTGAGTACAATTTAAAAACCATTTAAGCTTTTGTGTGTGTATACTATACTATGTAACTTAGCACAGTGGGTAGGGCGTTTGCCTTGCATTAGGCTGACCCGGATTTGATTCCTCCATCCCTAGGAGAGCCCGGCAAGCTACCAATAGTATCCCTCCTGTACAGCAGAGCCTGGAAATCTCCCCCCGCATATTCGATATGCCAAAAGCAGTATCAAATCTCACAATAAAGATGTTATTGGGCCTGCTTGAGCAAATCGATGAACAACGGGAGAGCAGTACTATACTATACCATGATATAGAAGTAATACTGTACAATTACAGGATTTATGTAAAAATAAACAAATACATCAATTCAATTGTTTGTCATGTAATAATTGCATACTGGAATATGCAGAGTTTCTGAATATTTTCCTGGTCAAAAACAAACAAACCCAGAACCCCACACCTGCTCTGGAGTCCTCCCTTCTCTGTACAAACTGAAAGAGAGCTTTTTATAGAGAACGAGGACATGCAAATAAGACTCATTCCACAGTGATGAAAACAGCCCAGCACAGTCTCAGATCTAGGACAGGAGTCAGTTCAGGGGTTCCCAGGGGCTCCATACTGACTCACACAGAACCAACAAAGGTATTTGTCCCGATTACCTAAGGCCCAATTACTTAATTCCCCTCATTCCCCTAACCATGAAAGAGCCTCCAATCGTTGGGAAAGGACAAGTAACTAGAGGTTGATAAAATCTCAGGGCTTGTGGGCTCAGCTGGCTTCTCCTGGTGGCTGTGTTAGGAGGTAACTCATGGACGAGAGAGACATGGAACATGGGAGAGATGGGAGAGTCAAATCCTCTGTGTGAGGATAGTTTCCTGACCAGGATGTCTTTGTGTTTGCAGGGGTCCAGTGTGAGGTGCAGCTGGTGGAGTCTGGGGGAGACTTAGTGAAGTCCGGTTAGTATCTGACACTCTCCTGTGTAGCCTCTGGATTCACCTTTAGTGACTACTGGATGAGCTGGGTCCGCCAGGCTCCAGGGAAGGGCTTGGAATGGATTTCAGACATTAGTGGTAGTGGTGGTACTAAAAACTATGCCGACTCTGTGAAGGGTCGATTCACCATCTTCAGAGACAACAGCAAGGACACGCTCTCTCTGCAAATGAGCCGCCTGAGAAAGGAGGGCATGGCCCTATACGAGAGACACAGTGAGCCTGTGCGAGAGACACAGTGAGGGGAAGGCCGTGTGGGCCCAGAAACAAACCACCTGCAGGAGGAAGCAGGGTGAGCTTCAGGGGCGCAGGCCCCCAGGAGGCTCTTAGGACTCTCCCCTGAGGAAACGTTGCTCATGACCTGATGAATCATCTTTCTGTGGAGATCAAGACTGATCTGCCCCTCAGCTCTCAGATGACCCCATGGCCATCTTGTCCTGCAGGTTGTGGCTCTGTGTCCTCCGTGGAAAGGAGTTTGTCTCACTCTTTCTCATGTTGTAAGTTTTCACTAGTGAAACCATGACTTCCCTGGAGTCTGAGGGGTACATTATTCTCTTGTAGAAATTAAAATGACCCTGTAGGTATTATTATGGCCTCATGGTAAGGATAACTATGTCTCTCTCTGCCCCTCTGCCTTCATGGGGAGTTCTTTTCTCTGGCTTTCTGGAAGGCACCAGAACAGAACTGGGCCAGCATCTCTCAGTGACTGTCTGCCTTCCCAGGTCAGGCTCTTTTTTTCCATAAAAAGGAGAAAGTTTCCATGGTCTCTGCAAATATCTTCCTGCCTCGGTTTCCAGTTTCTGCCATCCTTGCTCTACAGGACTCTCCCCTGATGGATGGGCCTAGAGGAACAAGGTAATAATACTCAGAGTCACAGAGGGATAGAGGGGCAACGCCAGTGAGAGAGCAATAGTTAAAGACATCTTGGCTGAAAAGTCCCCAGAGATGGAGATCACAGGCACCCAGATCCAAGAAACCCAAAGGATACCAGCTAGAAGAGACCGTAATCAGAAGGACCAGCACCATAGAGATACAATTCTGAAAAGAACAAGAAAAAGAAGGAAATTATATTCAAAGGAATGTTTTTAGATTTACAGCAGACCTATCTATTGAATCTTCTGGGTCCTAGGAATATATTAGGGCACAGTTAAAAAATTTATCAAACTGAATCTTCACAAAAATTACTTTACCTAGTAACTCTCATTCACAATCAAAAGAAAGATACAATAATTCATGAATAAATAACAGTTCATAAATGTCATAGACTCAAAATCAATGTTGAAAGAAAACCTCAAGAAGCTTCTGTTAGGCAAACAAATGCAATCATCTTCTAAATAAAGATGGCACAAAACCCAAAGACAATAATCTTTCCCAATGTCAATGATCTAATTAGAGTAAGTAAGTGACACAGGGTGGCAGAATGGATTTAAAACTTGAATCCAACATTTTGTCACCTAAAAGAAACACATTTGGATAGTCAGAGCGAAAAAGACTCAAAAGCAAAGGGTGAAGAACAATTATTTAAGAACATGTTTTAAAAGGCTGTGGTGGCCATACTAGTATCTGATGGCATGGATTGCAGGCTGAGAAAGGTTATAAGAGACAATAAAGGTCATTCCTTAACAATCAAGTGATATGTACATCAGGAAAAATTTATACTCTTAAACATATATGTACCCAATGTCAGCCAGCAAAATATATAAAACTGCTGATGCATTTAAACGAGGACATTGGAAGCAACACAATAGTAGTTGGAAATTTCAATGATGCTTTGTCACTCCTTGATAGATCAACCAGACTGAAACTAAGCAAGGAAATATTGGCTTTAAAGGAACAAATGGAAGAGAAGGGATTAGTAAATATATACAGTGCTTTTCATCCCCCAAATTCCAAATACATATTCTTTTCCAGTGCACAAGGGACATTTTCTGGATAGACCACATGCTGGGACACAAAACATTGCTCTATAAAATTAAGAGGATAGAAATTGTATCAACAATCTTTTCAGACCATGATGCACTGAAAATAAAAATAAATCACACACAGAAGAGGAGAATCAAACCAACCACCTGGAAATTGTGCAGCTCATTGCTAAATGACCAGTGGGATAGAGTGGGATAGAGAGGAAATCAAAGTGGAAATCTAAATATCTCTGGAAACAAATTAGAATGAGATACCAAAACTTGTAGGACACAACAAAAAAATATTAAGAGATAAGAGTATAGCTCTGCAAGCATGCATCAGGAAAGAAGAAAGGACCCACATAAATAATTTAATCCCATGACTTATGATCCTGGAAAATGACCAACAAAAGAAGCCCAAACCAGGCAGGAGGAAGGACACAATAAATGTTAGAGAATAAATCAAAGAGATGGAATCCAAGAAAGAATCCAAAAGATCAATGAAAATAAGAATTGTTTCTTTAAAAAAAAGATCAATAAATCACTAGCAAGTCTCTCAAAGAGATGGAATGGTAATAAACTGAATCAGAAATGAAAGAGGGAACATCAGAACAGAAATAACAGAAACTCAAAGGATAATCAGACATTACTTTGAGAATCTTTATGCCATGAAACAAGTGAACCTATAAGAGATGGATACACTCTTGGATAGCCTACCAATGTTGAACCAAGAGGATTTGGAAAGCATGAACAGATTTGCCATCATTGAGGAAATTGAAGTGGTAATTATAAGTATTTCCCAAAACAAAACCCAGGCCTGAATGCATTAACTAGTAAATTCTTTCAAGTGCTTTTCCAGAATTTCCAAGAAATTGAATAACATAAAAACTCCCATACAGAATCTACATGGCAACTATCAACCCTACATAAAAAGCAGACAGAAATCACACACACACACACACACACACACACACACACACACACATGCACAAATTATAGACTGATATCCCTGATGAACACAGACGCAAAGATTCTAAACAAAATTCTATCAAAGGGAATCCAAACACTCCCCGAAGAGATCATATACTATTATCAAGTAGGATTCACCCAGAATGCAAAGAAGGTTTAATATTCACAAGGCAATCAATGTAATGTAACATATCAATAAAATAAAAATAAAAACCACATGATAATATCAATAGATGCAGAGAAAGCATTTGATAAGATCCAGCAAACATTCATAATAAAAACAACCTGTCATCAGTGTTGGAGTTGAAGGAACCTTCCTCAATATAGTCAAAGCCATCTATCACAGGCACACAGCAAGTATTATTATCAATTTGAAAAAATAAAGCCTTCCCTCTAAGATCAGGAACAAGATAAGTGTTACCTCTCTCGCCACTTCTATTCACTATAGTTCTAGAAGTTCTTGCCATAGTAGTTAGGGAAGAAAAGATACCAAGGGAATCCAAAGCGGGAAGGAAGAAGTCAATCTTTCGACATCTGCAGATAATACCATACTATACTCAGGATATACTTAAGAGTACAAAAAAAGCTCCTAGTAAACTATTTGTACAGTAAAGTGGCAGTTTAAATAACCAATACCCAAAAGTTCACAGCTTTCATATATATATATATATATATATATATATATATATATATATATGTGTGTGTGTATAGAGAAAGAGATAAATAAGAATATTTTTAAAATCCCGTTCACAGTAGTGAATAGCAAAATCAAGTATCTCAAAATCAACTTTAGTATAGAGGTTCATGATCTATACAAAGAAAACTATACAAAGACTACATTAAGAAATATAAGAAGACACAAGGAAATAGAAACACATATCCTACTCATGGATCAGGAGAATTAACATTGTTAAAATGACAACACTCACCAAATCATTGTACATATTCAATACAGTCGCTATAAGGATACCATGATATTTTTTTAAAATAATACCTCAAAAAGTCCTGAAATTTGTATGGAACAATATATACTCATGAATAGCTAAAGATTTTCTAGACTAAAAGAAGAAGAGAGACCTTATCTTCCCCAGCTTCAAACTGTACTCAGAAGTGGTAGTAATAAAAGCAGCCTGGTAATGGAATAGAGACAGACTGGAACATCAATGGAATAGAGTTGAATATCCTGACACACATCCTCAAAAATACGATCATTTAGTCTTTGATAAAGGGAGAGAAGTATAATTTGAGTGAGGAATGCCTGTTCAACAGGTGGTGCTGGAAAAACTGGTCAGCTACATGTAAAACAACAACAACAAAAAGAACTCAGAACTCTATCTAATGTCATGCATAAAAGTCATATCAAATGGATAAATGACTTCAACATTTAATCTGTATCCATAAGATTCATGGAGGAAAACATAGGCAAATCCATCCATGATATTGAAGCAAAAGTCATCTTCAAAGATGAACACTACTGACCAAGCATGTGGAAGCAAAGATAAACAAATGGAACTACATCAAATTAATACCCTTCTGCACCTCAAAACAAATGGTGGCCAAGATACAAAGACATCCCAAGAAATGGGAAAAATTATTTACCTAATACCTATCTGATAAGGGGTTATGGACAAAGATACATAAATCACTGGTAGAAATTTACAAGAAAAAATCCAACTCCAACAAAAATGTGAAGAGGAAATATATAGAGACTTCCTCAAAGAAGAAATTCAAAGGGCCAAAGGCTCATGAAATAATACTCAATCTTCCAAATCAGCATGGAGATGCAAATGAAAACAACCAAGAGATATCATCTCACAGCAGAGAGACTGGCACAAAGAACAGGAAGAATCAGTGCTAGCGTGGATGCGGGAGAAAGAGAATTTTCCTATTTTTTTGTGGAAATGCCTACTGGACAGCCTTTTGGGAAACATTATTCTAAAGACTAGAAATTGAACTCCCTTTTGACCTAGCAATTTTAGGAAATTGAACTCCCTTTTGACCTAGCCTTTTGGGAAACATTACTCTAAAGACTAGATATTGAACTCCCTTTTGACCTAGCAATGCCACTTCTTGGAATATACTCTGGGGACTCTACAACACACAGTAGAAATACCATCTGCACTTCTTTGTTCTTTTAAGCACTATTCACAGTGACCAGAGTCTGAAAACAACCCGAGTTCCTGAGAATACACACCTGGATAAAGAAACGATGGTACATCAACACAATGGAATACTGTGCAGCTGTTAAGAAAAATGAAGTCATTAAAATTGCCCATAAATGGATGGCATGGAGAGTATCATACTGAGACAAATGTGTCAGAAATAGAGAGACAGAGCCAAAAATGACTTCACTCAATTGTGGGATATAAAAA